CTCCTCCTCCTGGTCCTGCTCCTCCTCCTCCTCCTCCTCCTCCTCCTCCTCCTCTCTCTCCTCCCTCCTCCTCCTCCTCCTCCTGGTCCTCCTCCTCCTCCTCCTCCTCCTCCTCCTCCTGCCTCCTCCTCCTCCTCCTCCAAATCTGCTCCGAAAGCGAAACATGTTGGAGGAGAAAAAGGCAAAACCGCCTGAGACATCCCCACAAAAATCCGCGAAAGGGGCCGAGGAAAATACCACCCTGCCGCCCCCCTTAAGTACTGAAACAAGCGAATCGCCTGAGATATCCTCGCAAACTGCTCCGAAAGCGAAACATGTTGGAAGAGAAAATGGCCAAACCGCCTGAGACATCCCCACAAAAATCCGCCAAAGTGGGCATAAGGAAATTCCCCCCCGCCGCTCCCCTTAGGAGTGCTGAAGCGCCTGAGACATCCTCAACATCAGTGTGTGTGTGTGAGTCATCCGATGAGTGGACCTGAGTGAGTGTAGTGAATGTACGAGTACAAGTACGAGTGAGTCTGAGTGATGAGTGAGTCTGAGTGATGAGTGAGTCTGAGTGATGAGTGAGTCTGAATGATGAGTGATGAGTCTGAGTCATGACTGAGTCCGAGTGATGAGTGGGTCTGAGTGATGAGTGAGTCTGAGTGATGAGTGGGCCTGAGTGATGAGTGAGTCTGAGTGACTGACTGAGTCTGAGTGATGAGGAAGTCTGAGTGATGACTGAGTCTGAGTGGGTCTGAGTGAGAGGAGGTGAGGTGGTGTTCTGTCCTCCCTCTGTTCCTCCGGCGCGGTCCGCCAATAACAAGAACCCCATCTCTTTGGATATGGGGCAAAAGCTTGAGGCATCCCCTCAAAAAACGGCCGCGAACGGGGCGTGCGTGAGCCTCAGCATGAGTAAGTCTGAGTAGGAGTAGGTCTGAGTATGAGTAGGTCTGAGTATGAGTAATTTTGTGTGTGAGTAAGTCTGGATATGAGTAAGTCTGAGTGTGAGTCAGTCTGTGTATGAGTAAGTCTGGGTATGAGGAGGAGAGGGGAGGAGAAGGAGAAGAAGGAGGAGAAGTCGGCGGCGTCCAAGAAATAACAAGAACCCCATCTTATGATATGGGGAATCAATTATTGTTGGCCTCTTCGGGCCCTCCTGGAGGACCTCTTGGAGGCCTCTTGGGCCGTCTTGGAGGCCTCTGGGGGGCCTCTTGGGCCGTCTTGGGCCGTCTTGGACTCTCTTGGCCCTTCTTGGAGGCCGTCTTGGACCATCTTGGGCGGACTTGGAAGCCATCTTGGACCATCTTGGAGGCCATCTTGGGCCAACGTGGCCATCTTGGAGGCCATCTTGAGCTGTCTTGGAGGATTTTGTGGGTAGCTGAGGTGGTTTACGGGCCGAAGCCCCAGGGGGAGTTCTTTTGGAAAAAGAACCAAAAGATAGGGTCTAGCACGCCAGGCACCCCTGTGATGAATCAGAAGACGCCTACGGCGAATCACCGCCGCCCCCTGCCTTTTTGGAAGCGCCTATGTGGCCGAACGTTGAGGCCAGACCTGCCGAGCTATCGGACCATGTGCTCCCCGAATCGGTTTGGAAAGCCTTCGGGGAACACGTGGGCATCTTGAAGGTCATCTTGGCCGTCTGGAGGCCATTTTGACCCTTTCGGGCCTTCTTGGAGGACGTCTTGGAGGGCTCTTGGGCCGTCTTGGAGGCCATCTTGAGCGTGTTGGAGGCCTCTTGGGCCGTCTTGGGGGCCTCTTGGGGCCGTCTTGGAAGCCACTTGGGCCGTCATGGGGCCCTTGTGGGGGCCTCTTGGGCGATCTTTGGGGGCATTTGGGCCGTCTCCGGCCGTCGGAAGGCAGAAAAAAAGCAAATGCCACAATCCTTCAAAAACCCATTGGAAATCAATGATTTGGGCCTTTTCGGGCCTTCCTGGAGGCCTTCTTGGAGCCCTCTTGGGCCGTCTTGGGCCATCTTAGGGCCATGTTCGGCCGTCTTGGTGGGCTCCTGGTCCGTCTGACGCCGTCGGGAGCCGTTTGGGGGGCCTCTCTGGGCCGACTTGGGGCCCTCTTGGAATGCTCTAGGGCCGTCTTGGAGGCCCATCTTGGGCGTCTTAAAGGCCTCCTGTGCCGTCTTGGGGGCCTCTTGGGGCCCTCTTGGGCCGTTCTGGGGCCATCTTGGAGGCCTCTTGGGCGATCTTTCGGCGATCTTCAGGGGTTCTTGGGCCGTCTCGGGCCGTCGGAAGGCCGAAAAGAAGCAAATGTCAAAATCCAGAAAATCAATGTTTGTGGCCTCTTCTGGCCTTCCTGGAGGCCCTCTTGGGGGCGTCTTGCGCCGTCTTGGGCCAGCTTCGAGCCAACTTCGGCCATCTTGGTGGGTTCCTGGCACGTCTGACGCCGTCTGGAGCCGTCTTGGGGGCCTTTCTGGGCCGACTTGGGGCCCTCTTGGGGCGCTTCGGGGCCGTCTTGGAGGCCATCTTGGGCGTCGTGGAGGCCATCTCGGGCGTGTTGGGGGCCTCTTGGGCCATCTTGGGGCCCTCTTGGGGCCGTCTTGGAAGCCACTTGGGCCGTCATGGGGCCCTTGTGGGGGCCTCTTGGGCGATCTTTGGGGCCTCTTGGGCCGTCTTGGGCCGTCGGAAAACCGAAAAGGCGCAAATGCCAAAATCCTTCAAACCTGAGGAAAATCAATGGTTCTGGCCCTTTCGGGCCTTCTGGAGGACTTCTTGGATGGCTCTTGGGCCGTCTTGGAGGCGTCTTGCGGGCCTGACCATCTTGAGGCCATCTTGGGCCGTCTTGGAGGCATCTTGGGGCCATCTTGGCCGTCTTGGACGCCATCTTGGGCCAACTGGAGGAAACAGAGGCACGACGGACGCGTTTTAAGATCCTTTCCGGGTGGCCGACGGGACGGGCCGAAGCCCCAGGGGGGAGTTCTTTTGGAAAAAGAACCAAAACCGAAAGCCATCTAATTCGGCACGCCAGGCACCCCTGTTACAAGCAACAGGGGGCGGCGGACCCTAGTGGCCTTCGGCCCATCCCGCCACCGTGCCTGAGTTGTGGGTCTGAGGCCTCTTGTATTATATGTATTGGGGTGTCGTGGGGGGCCTTCGGGGGTCTGTTGGAGTCGGTTTGGGCGCCTCTTGGGGGCCTTTGGGGGCCTCGTGGGGTATCTGTTGGGCCTCCTGGAAGCCTCATGGGCGCGTCTTGGGCGCCTCTTGGGACCCCTTGGGGCCTCTTGGCGGCCTCTTGGGGCCTTCTGGGGGCCCCTCGGGGCACAAATACAGCACGTTCGGTTCGTGGTCCCCTTCTTGGGCCCCTTGTGGGGCCGTCCTGGGGCCCTCTTGGGCCGTCTCGAGCGTTTCTTGGGAAATATTGGAGCCCTGTTGGGCCGTTTTGGGGCCCTCTTGGAGGCTTCTTGGGCTGTCTTGGGGCGGTTTTGTTTTTGGGTCGTCTTGGGGTGTCGGAAAGCCGAAAATGCGAGAAGGCCAAAATCCTTCAAAAGCAGTTGTAAAATCGACGATGCTGGCCTCTTGGGGCTCTCTCGGGAGGCCTCTTGGAGCGCTTTTGGGGCCTCTTGGGATTCTCTTGGGCCGTCTTGGAACCATCTTCGGCATTCTTGGCTTCGGCAATGCGAATACGGCGTAATTTGTTATGATGTATGGCATCGGGGACGCGAATTTCTTGTAACTTACGGCTTGTTGCCTCGGGGACGCAAGAACTGCACAAATTGCAAGGGCTCATGGCTTCGGGGACGCGAACACTGTGTCATCTACGAGGGATTATGACCTGCGGGGCGCGAATCTCATGTATTTCTACCTGTCCCACGCCCCCCCAGCCTAAGCCTCGCAGACCGATGGCCTCGCAAGAGGGCCGGCGGATATTGCAAAACATGTGCAGCACCATTTATGTTGCACCACAAAGATGGCACAACATAGATCGCACGACAGGTAGCACAACATAGGTTGCAAAACATAGATTGCATCATACATAGTGTACCGCATATATCGCACCATGTAGACTGTACCATATATATATATATATATATATATATATATATATATATATATATATATATATATATATATTATATATATTATATACATGTTGTGTACAACATGTATTGCTAGAAACACACTGTTAGAGGTCCACGTCAGCTAACAGACACTCATTCGTACATCTGTACATACACATGCACAAACTAACGTGCTGTTGTGCTGAAGGAAACCAACGACAGACATACAGGCGGTGGATCATGAACAGTTTGGTGGTCATTGTCTGCGTGGTATGTCGAGGATCGGTATCAACTCTCGAGTAGGCCAGTCTTGTATCCGACTTTCATGTCCATACGCTATTTTTGCTCGTTTGCCAAGCGCTCGAGGAAGTCAGGGATTCATCGGGGGGCGCTGAACCGCGGGATCGTGCCCCCTCGAGGAAGTCGGGGGATTCATTCAGCGGCTCCTTCGATATCGCTAGCAGGTCGGTGCCAACGCTCCTGTCCTCCTCGTCAGAACCATGCCCACCACCACTGGGGCAAGGCAAGGTAGCTCTCCCAACGTACCTCCTCTTGGTGGGGATGGGCGCCGCGGAACCCGACGGAGACGGCACCTATACCCACCTATGGGGGGGGAGGTCGGCCAGCAGGGCCAAGGCTTCCCCAGTCTGGGTGGGGATGGTTCGGGATATGTGTCTCGACTACGCCTTCGGAGGGGAGGACAAGGAGGCAGGGTGGACCCCTCCTCGGGGGCTCAAGGCCGGGCGCCCCCCGCATCAGCGTCGGGCGTCAGCTGGAAAGCCCCCGGCCGTTTGGAGTGTGCGCAGGCCGGGCACTAGGGCGCCCGCCTGCGAGTAGGTGCCCGCGCCAGGCGGCCTGGTCGGGCGCGCGGCCCCGACAGCGCGGGTCTCGTCAAGCCGAGCGGAAGGAAGGAAGGAAGGCAGGAGGCGCAGGAAGGAGGGGCTGGCGGAGGAGGGGCAGCAGCAACAGGAAGAGGGCGACGGGCAAGGCAGAACCCTCTGCCGACCCCAAGGTCTGGTCGCACGAAGCCCATCCTCATCGAGTCGGAGTCCAAGCTCATCGAGCGGCTGCAGGACAGAGTCACCGCCTCCTCCCTCCCTCCTCCTCTTCTCCTCCTCATCCTCCTCCTCCTCCTCAGCCTCATCCTCCTCGTTATCCTCCTCCTCCTCCTCCTCCTCCTCCTCCTCCTCCTCCTCCTCCTCTTCCTCCTCCTCCTCCTCCTCCTCCTCCTTCCGTAGCCATTTTGGCTCAAGATCCCAATGTTGGCGGGCACAGCGCCCGCAGGCTCTGCATGGAAGGTGCTAATCCGTAGCCCGCTCTCGATTTTTCCCCCCTATACCTTTACATATATGCTGCACCGCCTTGTGCTGGAGCTGCTGCCCCGCGCCAATTGGCGGAAGAAGCTGCTCACTCATACGCGCGGCAGATTCGAAGATGCTCGAGACCCCCGAACGTCGTGATCGATCGCCGAGAGGAAGTCAAGGAAAAGGTCAAGATCCCTGGGCTGACGCTGTACAACACAACAAACTCGACGCCTTCAAATCCGAGATCGAGCAGCTCCTCGCCAAGCAGGTCGCCGATGCCACCATCCAGTTCCAGGCCACAGCAGGGAAGGTATGCGCGAAGGCCCAGACTGGTTTCCTCGAGAGTGTCACAGCAGTTACTGCGGCCATTTGCAAACGACAAGATCAAGCCGAAGACGATCTCGCCTCCCTCAAGCAGCGCATGGCTGCCTCCGAGACCGAGCACAAGAATCTCAACGCAGCCGTCGGCAAAATCAAGTCCGCCATATCACAGGCAGAAGCTCAATTACCTACCATGGACATCGGCAACCTCGGTACGTGGGACAGACCTGGGCATATTGACACGTTATGGTGCGGCTCCACGGTGGACATCACGCAGGCTGCCCTCAAAGCCGCTACTGCTGACTGGTTTGCGGCAGCTGGCATCGATGCTTCCATGGTACGCTACAACAGCGCCGCGCCAGCAAAGAGAGTTTCAATCGCAGTACTCGGAAGGGGACGCTGTCGCCATTCCACGCGCTCAAGCTTCACAGCATCACTTTCGCATTGGTCGGGATTGGCGATCGTTCACGCTACAGACCCCCCGGCAACGCGCCCGCCCCGCTCTACGTCAGTGAAGACAAAAGCCCGAAGCTCGTCAGACAGGAAATCCAGCTCAAGAAGCTCGCTAAGATCATCGCGCAGGCCAAACCGTCGCTCCTGCCCAAAGTTGACCGCACCGACGGCTACCTCTCGATCGACAACCAGCCCATCGTACGCACCATCGTCGGCGAGAGGCCAGAGCTGGCCACAAAGGTGCAATGGTCTGACGCTGCTGAGGCCCATGGTCTTACCCCTGCCACGCGGTCCTCCTGCACGGACGCACTCGCGGCTGCTTTCGCAGACGCAGTTACCGCAGCGTCGTGACTTTAGCAACCGATGGACGCCATGGGCCCCTTTCAACTTCTGCTGCCCACCCCGAGTGCTCGGTGGTCAGCTGGAATGCCCAGGCGCCCAACCACGGCAACATCGCCAAGCGGGACATCAAGCGCCCCACCCCCATGCCCTACCTGGCCAAGCACTCCCCCATCGCCCTGCAGGAGCCTCACGGCAACGACATGACGCTGAAGACCACGACCGCCTCCACGGGTGCCAAGTACGACATCTGCCACAGCGCCATTCCCGACAACAACTCCGCAGGCGGCGTTGCGTTCCTCGCCCCGAGAAGCGCGCCCATGTCTGCCCAAGATGACCACAAGCCGCTCCTCAACTTCTCCGAGATCGCACCCGGGCGCATCGTGGAGCTTTGGATCCAAGACCCGCTTCGACAATACATGCACGTCTACTTCAACGCTCATAATCACGATCTCTCCGCTGAGAACCGCCTTTGTTTCAAAACCGCGTGGCATGCGGCTCGCCCGAACACGCGACGGTCTTCCTGCTGGGTGATTTCAACATCTCCGAGCAGCCCGCGCGAAGCCTCCTTCGCCCTGTTGACGCATCTGCTCAAGAACGATCTCAGTACCAGCCATCTTTCTGGAAGCAGCTCTTTCGCCCGATGGTCGAGATACCCACGCCCTCTACAACCCACAAGTGCTTCGCCAACAACACCGAGTCGTGCATCGACCGCTTCTTCACCTCGTTCCAGACCCACAACCTCCCGCATATTGAGAGGATTATGGTGGTTGACGATTCGCCGCTCGAACGTAAACGCGATCCTGTTAGCGGTCATAAGCCACTTCATGTTCGTTTTCGCCCGCGTGCTCAGCGGCCCCCTGCTCAGCGCGGGATTCCCGCGCACCTCTTCAAGTCTTCCTTCTACAAGAAGTTCATCAACAAGCTCATCGACGACACCGACTTCGTCGCCCTCTCCCCCATCGGGAAGCGGCGCGCGCTCAAGACCAGCATGACAAACGCCGCGGCGGACACCCGTGACGCCCTGGCATATATATATATATATATATATATATATATATATAGATCCTGAAGTTCTCGCCACTGAACACTCCGAGATCTCTAAGGAAGTGAACTCGATGACTATGCGCAGCATTGCCCGCGCAGCTTGGTACCATGACGAAAAACTGGCTCAACTCCTGATTTCCAACACCCACCTCGGCGCCAAGCACCTGCAGATGCAGCATAACATGGACGCCGCAGTTCCGACCGTCAAGATCTGCCTCATCAACGACAGCGCCTTCGCCACTGCCGCCGCTCAAGCGCACGCTGCTGTTGCTGAAGAACATCGCGCTCATGCTGCTGCCCGCGTTCGCGAAGCGCACCTTCGGCACCAGCGGCGGCAAGGAGACAGGCGGCGGACGCGAGCGAGCACCACGCGTCGGCGAGGGGAGCTCTGGAAACCCTTCGCCAAGCGCCTGATTCTTGCCAGCGTCCGCATCTCTAAAGAAGATCCTGGCAGCATCACCAAGTCCCCGACCGACACGCAATCCGCGATTATGAAGCATTGGGCCCCGATCTTTGCCAACAAGCCCGCCAACCTTCCCAACATGAACGAGTACCTTGACGCCGTCTTCCCCCAGCGTGACCAGATCGAGCTCCCTGCACCAGGTGCTGACGAGCTACAGGCGGCTGCCAGACTTGTTCACGACTCCGCCCCTGGCCCTGACGGACTTCCATGCGCGGCATGGACTGCTACCCCTGGCAGTTTTATGATACTGGCAGAACTCACCCAGCACACTAGCAGGGGCAACTCCATCCCCCATGACTGGAACCATGCTCTGCTGGCGATGCCCCCCAAAGGTGACGAACCTGCTGGGAATGCAGAATGCTTTCGCGCTCCTGACCAACTTCGCCCGCTCGCCACGAAGAATTCCGACGTAAAGACAGTTGCACTTGCCGCCAACCGCAAGCTCCACCCGATCGTAAAACAGGGCTCCAGCATCCAGCGTGGTTCCGTTCCTGGTCGCCAACTCCTCAACAACATCGCCGAGGTCGATACTTACAGCCGCATCTACAGCATCCACGACCAGGCCGCCATCGACATGCCCTGCTTCCTCAGCATGGACATTGCCGCTGCGTTCCCAAGCTTGCCCCATTGCTGGCTATGGGAAGTTATTCGACGGTGGGGAACCACAGGCAACTTCCTGACGCTCTTACAGGCTTTCTATGCTCTACCCGTCGCCGTTCTGGCGATGGGCGGCGCGCGTCGACCGCTTCTCGTGGCCGAGAGCGGAGTTGCGCAAGGGTGCCCGCTCAGCGGTTCGATATGGGCCCTCGTCTTCGACCCCATCCTACGCGGCATCCAGTCCCACTTCTCAAAGATAGGCAGTGGCATGGCCAGTGCTTGCGCCGATGATATCGGCTGCGTTCTGGGACGCTTGAGAGACATGGCAGGACTCCTCGAGTACACTCAAGCTGCCGCTGCATATGGAGGACTACATCCACAACCTCGCAAGCGCGTGCTGGTCCGTGTATGGACTGACCGTTACTCCGACCACGACGACACCATCCGCGACATCTTCAAGGGGGTCAACGACGACTGGGCCCTCTTCAAGATCGACGGCAAGGCCAAGTACCTCGGTGTCTACATTGGACCATGTGCTGATGAACGCGCCCAATGGTCTGCCCCCGCTGCCAAATGGTTACACCGCTCGCAGATCCTCGGCGACGCCACCTCTGCCATCCAGCAGAACACATCGGCATACAACCCTTCCTCCATCACGTGCCTCACATACGTGGGACAGCTTTTTCCTGCTCCCGAACTCGTGCTCATAAAGGAAATCCACGTGCTGCACAAGATCATCCGCGCTGCCCCGTCGGCCTTCACCAAGCTCGACATCCTCGGGATGAAGAATTGGGCTGGGTGTGCAATACCCACTGGGATTGAAGTGCTACTCGGGGCTACGCTCTGGAGATCGGCTACGTCAACGATACACGCCTGGCCCCAACTTCATGAGCTGCATCGCCATGCTGCCGAAGACAATCCCCCTGTGGTGGACATCGCCCAAGGGAAGTGGAGCGCCAAATGCTGGGCCGCCCCCACCCCGGTCGCTCAGAACCTGGCCGTCGCAGAGAACGGAGCCAACTACCCGATGCTCAAGGGCTCCATCTTCAAGGCCATGGTCCGCAAATTGCAGAACGAACAACAAGTTCACCACTATCTGCGCCGTGCTCATGACCTTGCCCGCGCTGCTGCCCGCAAACCTCGCGATGATGCGGAACCCGCTCACAAGCGCAAGCCGCCGCAATCCATCTACTCGCTCACGCTCCAGCGCCACCTCTACGACGACAACTTCGACCTGACGCTCGCCAAGAGGATCAAGGCCTGGTTCCCGACGGTACCTACTGCCCCCCCCCCCCCCCCCCCGCAGTCTGCTCCGCAAGATTCAGCAAGTCACCATCGCCATCCGCAGGTACCTCTTCATCTTCCTGTTACTCCCGATGACACGGACAGAGACAGGCGCGGCGCCATCGACGAACTCGAGACGCTCACCGAGACCGTGCACCACTGGGCGTCCGACTGGATTCCGTCGCCTTACGTCGACCCACAGCTTGGTGACGAGGCGGACTGGCGTGCATGGTGCGAGGCGCATGTTCTTCGCGCGCTCCGACGCGACAGCTTTCAGGTCCTGTTCCGAGGGGCTTCTGGTTTGCAGCTTCGCAACCGTGCCAGTCGTATTTGTTCAGACGCATGGGCCTTATCACGGACGAAACGCCGCCAAACGAGCAACGCATTCCGCGGCACGCGCACAGCTGAAATTCAACTACGTTTTTTTTTTGTTGTCTGTTGCCGTTGTCGAACGTCGTGCTCAGCGCAGTCTGATTTCGGACGCCGACTTCCAGAACGACAACTCCGACTACATCCCAGACTTCAACGAGGACATCACCTCTCAATACGCGGACAGCAACGACATGACCATGCTCTTCCAGATCCCGTGTTCCACGCGAATCTCCTGGCGTCGGCTACGACCTCATGTTGCTCAACTACCGCCGTCTCGCTTCTGGCCAGCGATGAAAATCTTGGCGGGCGAATGGGCCACATCACATCGTCTTCATGCACAACCAGTTCGCCGCAGCTGCGTCTTCGGCTGTGACCCCGCGCACAACCCAGACGCGTTCACCCACTACCTGATATGCAAGCGCATGTGGCATCAGTTATCTCTGCCACGGGGTCGCCTACATCAATGTGTTCTCGCCCGGCTGGGGCTTCACGATACCAACTTCGCCGTCGACGGCGACACTGACAACTGCATCGACCATCGCCTACCGCGCGCACCACAACATCCAAGACATGATCTCCCTCGGCACCGCCGTGGACTCCATCAACTACCACGCCCACATCAACATGGCGAAGGCCGCCCGCTTCGCCCTGAGGCTCGGCTCCAGCCCGTTCGGCGGCGCGCCCGCGCGCGGCCGCGCATGAAGCACCACGTCCGCAAGTGGACGTTCGCTCCTCCTCCTCCTCCTCCTCCTCCTCCTCCTCCTCCTCCTCCTCCTCCTCCTCCTCCTCCTCCTCCTCCTCCTCCTCCTCCCCCCTCCTCCTCCTCCCACATGCCCGCGTGATTTACACGGCCAGGTTTTGAGCAGGTGCGTCTTGCGGGTGCCCGAAATCATGCGTGAGGACCCATCGAAGTTCGACGGGAGGAGCTGGGTCCCAGAATGCCACACATGTGGGAAAGGGAAGAGGTCGTCTTGCGCCCGTGCAGCACGAGCTGCTGGCACCCAGGATCCTGAGCGCAAGTTCTGGCGCTAGTTATGACGAGATAGCTCGCCAGGGTAAACGCTCGCGCCAGCAAGCCGAGATTGCAAAGCCATGTCAGGCATTTGGCAGAATCCAAACACGAAAACAGCGGTTGCAGACGCTGCTGGAGCTCTAAATCGCCATCGTTCGCAGGCGACCGCCATTAGGGCACAGCCTAGCCGACCCTGAGGGCACTGCAGAAGTCGGTGCGTGAGTCGAGGATCAAGCCGAGCATGGGCAACTGTTGCTGCCGAGTCTTGTAAGATGCCAACGGAAGAGGTATGAAAAATACCCCGACGACCACAACGGTGCAAATTGCACGAAGACGGTGTCGACATTGTCCTAGCCAAGGCTGGTTCGAGCGGCGGTCGCCCCGCAGCGCACGTGGATGCGCACCCGCAAATTGACATCTGCCGCCGTGCATGCGGCCATGGCCAGGCGTTATACATAGGGGGCAGTTCAGGTGCGTGGTCGGTGAGCACAGCATCAGCAACACGGGGGGAAACAACATCATACTTGAAACCACGCATTGCGTTGCAATGTTTCTCCGCAACCGTTGCTTTGCTCCAACTATTATCCCGCTGCTTTGTTTCAGGCGATGACAGTGGTCGCATGCTTTTGCGGCCGCGATGTGGGAACTGGCTGGAGGCCCGTTGTGATGGCCCGAAGTCGAATGCGGAATCAAGATGTGCGCACGAGAAGCGAGAGCCAGACGAGGGAGGGGAGCCGGCGCACGACAAACAAAAAGTGGAGGAGTGGGCGCCATTGCTTCGGGCGAGGGGGCGGCACGGGCATACCGAGGAATTGAGGGGCGGAGATTCGCGAAGGGCAACGCAGGAGGCGAAACAGATTACGAAGGCCTTACGGCCGTTGCCGCCGACCCTGAATGGAGACGACGACAACGGCGGGGATGGCGGCGACGACGACGACGACGATGCGGACGCGGGCCAGTGTCGCCAGGGATGTTTCTTGGGGTTTCCTCGGAAGGCTCTCGAGGGTCTGTGGGGAGGAATGTTGGGGCCTCTTGGGAGCCTCTTGAGGGCAGAGGCGAAACAGACTTCCATCTGACCGTGGCCAAGAGCATTCAAGATAGCGCTGCGGTCGGAAAAATGACGACGCTGGTGAAGACGGTGGCATCGTATGACATTGAGGATGCTGCGGCCACGGCCAACAAGGAGGACAGCAACCAGAGGGAGGGGGTTATAAGGGGAAGGAGGCGTCGACGGCGGAGGCATAATCGACGGGGGTCACCAGGATGGGGCCGCGAGAGTGGGCAGAAACACAAACATTTGAAGGTCCGCACGAATTTCTTGGATCTGAGCTGGATCCTCTTGTTGACGCCTCCAGCGCCGCCCCGTCCAGCGCCGATCCAGGAAATCCGCACGGTTCGACGATGGTCAATCGCCTCTCCATTTCACTCTGCGGCGCAGCCAGGCTGTCGTGATTTGCAGTGCTTGAGGGTGGAGCTCATAATCTTCGTTGCGTCGTAATGGATGAGGAGGACAAAATAGTGGATGAGGAGAAGAATCCAGGAAATCCGCGGGGACATCCAACAGGTTTCCGATCTGCCTTTCTCATGCCTCCCCCCTGCCTCCCTCCTGCCTCATGCGGCCTGGTCCTGGTCCTCCAAGAGGGCGAGCGTGCCAAATGCGCGCCTGCCTCCCTTGCAGGGACGCTGGCCCTTCCTGGCGACTGCAGATACGTTCGTTTACTCAGCTGGCGTACGCCATCCCGCCAAACCCCCCTAGAGGAGCGAGTGCTTGCGGTGATTTTGGAAGTTATCTAGTGCGTCAGGAGCATCTTGGTCTCGGACCTCAAGTGGGCCAGTGGGCCAAAGGCCCGCCTGCCTCCCCTGCAGAGACGCCGGCCCTTCCCGTCGACTGCCGATGCGATGCGTTCGCTGATTCTCCCTGAGGGCAGGAGCGGGCGCGGGGGCGCTGCCAGAGAAGCCGCCGCCAGCATCGCCCTTGCTCGCAGCGGCGACAGCTGCCGCACTTCTCCCCGCTCGCTCGGGCGCTGAGCTGCACAAGAGCCGGGGAGGAGACCGAGGCTATGGGTGGCGAGCGAGGGGGGGGAAGTGAGAAGGAGAAGGCCTTCTCTCAGAAGGCGGCGGGGTTTCTCAGAAGGCCTCCGACCTTCTGAGAGGTTTTCTGTGCCTTCTGGGAAGGGTTAGAAAGCTTCTCAGGAGGCCGGGGGACTTCCGGGCCTTCTGAGAAGGCCCGCCCATTCTCAGTTCCCCCCCAGGCTCGCCGCCAATGCCAGGCCGCCAAGATGGGGTCGGAGTAAATGGGGTCGGAGGATCGCGCCGCATCGCCGATGCATTGGCGATGCGCCGCGATGCGGGGTCCGATTCTGTCCATGCCGACATCGGCGATGCGTCGCGATCCTCCGACCCCGTCTACTCAGACCCCATCTGGGAGGCCTCTAGACACGAGAGCGGTAGGATCGGAATGGGCACGGAAAGAGTGGGGACGATGGCTGACGGCGGTTTCTGTATATTTTGAAAGGGCTCGTTGTCGGTGCAGCCGCAGGCTTCGTCCATTTAAGTCAGAAGGCCGCCTGCCTGCCCAACAGCGGCCGGTGCCGGTTTGGGATCACATCCTCTGTTGGGCACTCGGACGTCAAAGGGAAAGGTATGGTCCACAGAAATGCGTCGCAGAAGCGTCCGGACAAGACGAGACGAACTCCACAACCAGCCGCTTTCCCTGCATCCCAGCCACCGTCCCCCCGCCCAAAAGTGTTCGCTTTCGCCCTCTCTGGCTGCCCCCCCCTGCCCCGCATTTTACTTTCTCTTTTTTTGCCTCACCCTCCCTCCTGCGCCTACACTCTCCATGCCACCATGGCCACTTGCGATCGCGCCACTGCCTCTCCCAGGCCCTTCAAACAGCGTAGATAAAGCATTCCATTCGTTTATTGTGCCCTTTGCGATGCTTGTCATCACGTCCACGCGATCGCCCTCAGATTAACGAGTTCCTCTTCAGCGCCCAGCAGGCGCGCAACCCGGTGCCCATGCTGGTGGAGAAGGTCCTCCCTCATCCCAAGTGCGATCGGTGCCAACGATCCCCTCCTGTTCATCCTCACCTTCTTGCTCCTCTTCCTCCTTAGCCTCCTCATCCTATTCCTCCTCATCCCCACTGCCATTAGCATTAGCGTCGAATCGCGAGCTCTAGTTTACGCCTTCGGATCTTCTACCGCGGGCATGACAAGGGCAGGGCGGGGCAAGGCAGGACAGGGCATTGCAAAGCAGGCAAGGGCAGGCACGACTCGTGTTCCTCATCTTGTTCCTCCAGCTCCTCCTCGTCCGTCTTGTTCCTCCAGCTCCATACATGCCCAGCTGTGCGATCTCCTCCTCCATCGCTTACGTCAAGAAAAAACTTGGATCCTGCGTTGTTAGAAATGTGCTATGTGCTGTGTGCGTGTGCGTGTGAGTGGCTGCCTTTCCTCTGCTACTGTTCTGTGCCGCTCCAATCCATCTTATCTTATCCAATCCACCTCTTCCAATCCAACCCTTCTTGTGACTGTCTTGATGGTTGTCTGGTGGTTGTGCCGATGATTGTCCTGTGGTTGTCCGACAACACATCGTTTTTCGGCGCCTGCGGCGGGCTTTCTCATTTTGCTTTTGAGGTCGATAGTGAGATTGACAGTGAGATTCACCGATAGGTCGGACGACGGATAGGTAGATAGTGGGATCTCATCGTCATCGCGCTCATCATTGCGGTGGAGGGAGACTCTGATAGAGAGGGAGAGAGAGAGAGAGGGCGAGAGAGAGAGAGACAGAGAGAGAGAGAGACACAGAGAGAAAGAGAGAGAGATGAGATCAAGGTGACAGGCTGGAGGTCAGTCAGGGTGGGCATTTGATCTCAATCCCCCCCAACCTCCTTATCGCCCGCAGGGCGGTCGTATAGGTATATGCACAAAGACGGTGAGTGGAGCGCGGGCGGGCCGGAGCGGCTTGGCGACGGAGGTCTCACACGTCCTGGAGATGTTGCACACCTCGCAGGCGCAGGCGGACCTCTACCTGCAGGACCCGCCGCGGCCCCAAGAGAGTGGACGCGTCTGTTCTTCGCCGTCCTTCTTGGCGCCTGACTTTTCGGAAGGGGGCCAGCCGACACAACGGCGGCCCTCCCTGGCGTTCTTCGTCCTTTCTGGGCCTCCCGGATGCTTCTCGTCGCCACGGCTGGATCCGCGGCGAAAGTCGGGTCAGGATGGACCCCAGGAGTCCAGGGACCGGTTTGGAGCGCATTTGGGTTGGGTAGGAGAGCCGCCGTTGTCTCACCTTGCTTTATTCCGAGAGTTTCTTGTCGGCTTGATGTATCCGCGCCGCCTTTCCTCATCGCCCTCCCTTACGCGCACACTCTGCACCCCAGCCTCGACATCTCTCCGTGCCATGATCACTGAGCTGGGCTGTATCCCTGCAGGACCTCCAGCGCTCCAACAGCATGTTGACAGCCCTGCGCCAGAAGAACATGACGCTCTACGAGAAGGCAGCCCTGCCCGAAGGGCTAACCTCTGCAGCCTGTTCCTCCCCACCCACACCCACCTTCTTGTGCCCCATGTCTACTCCCCCCTTCATACCTTGTTCCGAGCGCGTCCTAGAGGAGACCGATGAAGAGCGCTACGGCGATGTCGACGACGACAACGACGACGACGACGACGAAGAAGACGACGCGGAAAGGCCCGTAAACCGCAGAGAGCGTAGTTGGAAGCGGAGCTAGAGCAAAGTTTGGGTATTTCTTCGGTTTCGCAGACCATGAGTTGTTGGATTGACGCGGTCCAATTCCGAGCTGCATAGTTCCACACGAGTTTGTTTCGCACAAGCCATGGCTTGGTCTTTGATCTGTCCACTTGACACCGCCGCTTTCACATGACGGGTCGTGCACAGACCATGAAAGGGGCTACAGCATCGTTAGCTTTCGACGTTGTGTCACTACGATTCCGCTCAGGCGCCCCAATGCCGTGCATACCTCGCAATATTGTATCCCCATCTCTTCAGAATTGCAGCAGCAGCGGTATAAGATATGAGAACGGAAGCATGCGAACGAAGCATAGTAGTCGCTGGTATGAGTTCGACCAGGACGGGCGGGTACCACGACGGAGGAGAGTGGCTGAAATCGTGTCGTACGGGTTGTCAGGACCCTGGGTGAAGTTTGCCTTGCCACGTTGAAACACGTTGGGGGAGAGAGCAATTGTGACGCGGACTGAAACAATCAAGGTGCAGCTCTGCGAGACATGGAAGATGCGGGCGCTCTTGAAGGAGCTGACGGGCCAGCATTGCCGCATTCATCATGGTGTAAGATCGTTCTTGGATGTGTACCCATGCGGCGTTCCAAAAAGGGCCCTGCCTTTGATTACCGCAGGAGTTGTCATCTGTTCCTCGGCGACAAGCGGCGGAAGGGCGCCAAAAGGTCGGCGGAAGAAAAACGAGGCCGCCTCCGCCGGCGGAACCCGGCGGAAGGGCGGCGGAAGGTGGCGGAAGCAAAAATGCGTCCCAAAAGAGGTGACAACATTTTTGGGTTCAGGGCTTCCGTAATCCGCTCACACGGGCACGGGGTCATGAAGGGCATACGTCCATTCATTCGCGCGCGTGGGCGTCCATGTCTGCGTGTGCGCGCGCGTGTGTGTACGAGTGCGCCTCGGCTGCCCGCGGCGCATAACACGTGCGCTCTCCCGTGGGTCGTGCGGCATCCACGGTACCGCGTGCGCGCGTGCGTGCTGTGCGCACCGAGCTTCTCGTGCTTCTGTCCACGCGTGCCTTTGGCTTTCCTCCGGCGGCGAGACCTGGGGGAAGTGAGAGGGGGCCTCCTCAGAAGGCTCGGAAGTCTCCCGGCCTTCCGAGAAGGCGCGAGGGCTTCCGAGAAGTCCCGCTGCCTTTGAGAAGGCCTTCTCCTTCTCACTTCCCCTCCTCGCTTGCCGCCGACTTTTACTTTCCTGTATTTTGTCATTGAGTTTGTGGTGCGCGTTTGGCTCTGCCCCTGTGCTTGCTTACGGTGCCACTGTTGGCACTGATATCGTGCGCCCGTGTATGTTCATCCGCCTATGCCCGCTCCAATCGTTATCTGTTCCCCCAGAGTTCACATGCTGCAGCACCCGAAGAGCTCGCGTAGATTCCCTTGCCCTTGTCGGACAGTTTTCGCATCCGTCCTCTCGTCGGCGCATCCGTTGTAGGACCTGCGCTGTTCAGCGGCACAGTCATAACTTCCCGTCGTTACCTGTGTCGCCCTCGCTCGCCCGGCCTGCGGGTGCTCCAGCGCTGTCACGTCCGCGAGCATTTGCCGAGGGTCTCTTCACCCCTTGACCCACGAGTCCCCTAAGGGGGCGGAGGAGAGGGGCCCACCCGAGTGCCCTCAAGTGACTGGCGGGGGATGGTTGAGGAGCAGCGGCAGAGGCAGGAGATAGTGGCGTGATTGGGGAGGAGGAGAGCCACCGCACTACTCCAAGCCTTCAGGCTGCGGGCCTCGCCTCGGAAGCTCGACCTCCCCGCTGCGGCCTGCGCGTGGATCCCGAGCAGTGAGACGGGAGAAAGTTTGGGAGCACAGCCCGACGATAGAAAATTGACGCGGTTGGGGACTATATCTCTATATGTTCCTTAGCTTGCGGGATAATCCATCTAAGTTCGGCGGGAGCGCCGTGGTTCGCACAGTCATCAGGTGTATTGTAATTCTGCTGATTCTGTGTCCGTAGTCCGACTTGTTTTTGCTCAAGCTGTTTTCTTGTCAGTCTATGGGCCTCCCAAGTTCTTTCCATGTGGCCGTCGCCACGCTGTGTTGGTTCATGTGGGGATCAGAAACACCGACTCGGCTGCGCGCCATGCAGCACGTTCAAGTGGATGTGGAGGATAACGACACTGGTGTTGGTGGCCGCTTGTGTGACACTCTTCCGCGCCTCTCAGGAAACGGATCGGTCAGGCAGACGTACATCGAGGGCCACACACACGGCCGTCTCCCATCCGAGCTCCTCTCGCGGATCAACCTCTTCTGCGCCCCGCGGAATGCCGGTTGTACCTCATTGGCCGTCGGTGCTTGGTGCTGCGCGGACGCATGTCGGAGGATCGGCTCCGCTGATGGGGCGGCCCGTGATGCCTCCGCCAAGTCCGAGGCTAGCTCCTCCTACGGGGCCCCCATTGCAGTTGCGCCTGGACGGCTGGCCGCAGCCGACAAGTGCGGTGTGGGGCAGTTGGCGTCGCCTGGTGATCGAGGTTGGGGGGGAGGCATTCGTACACGAACGTTTGGTGACCAGGGCCGATCCGAACGACCGCTCGGCCTGGACTGCGACGCCTGATCAGGATGGGCATGAGGAGGACTACCGTCATGATCCCGACATCGTCGGGTTCACCTTCCTGGATGATGCATGCGACGACATGAAGATCTCGGGCGTGGTGGTGATCGCACCTACGGACCCGCTCGTGAGCGTGGAGGCGGTGTCAGCCTGCACACTGCCGTCGGAGATCCCCGTGGCTGTCTTCTTGGAGTGGGCGTCGATGCCGAAGTTTCCCAGCTTCAGGGATGACAGGTTCGATCTCTACGCGTCGGAGGTGAGATACCGTCGCATTATGAAGTCTCGTTTCGAGCATGGCGCCTGCAGTCGTACCTTCAATGCTGGTGTGTTGAGGTTGTTCGAGGAGCCTGAGGTCGATGGCCACACGAAGGGTCCCCGCATTCCGCTTGGCACCGCACAGACTCCGAGGTCTCAAGGGCCGATCTGTCAGACACAGGCTCGAGAGTGTCCCGTGGCGACTCGCATTCGTCCTGAGAAGAGGTCGGTGCACGAGTACAAGCTGGTCCGCGAGGTTCTGAAGGCGTGGCAGCACATCGATCGGTGTAACCTGCCGAACACAATAGGGGCCGATCTGCTGGTGGGGCGCAGGAGCCTGCTGGAGGAAGCGCGCGCCTCGTTCCCCAGCAACTCGGGCTACAGCGCAACCAACATCATGATGGGCTGGGCCGTGGCACTCTTGAGCGTCACCGCTAGCAGGCTGAAGGACAAGGCGGCGGTCTTGAAGGGAGAGGGGAAGGCATTCGACGAGTCCAGGCTCGGGGGAAAAGGTCAGCCCCCGAAGGACAAGGACAAGGGCGTCAAGGACTAGGGGGTCGAGATCGACCCCTTCGGCACCCTCGCAGGTGCCCTCGCCGAGCGTCGTCTGCTGACGATGTTCGACAACCGCTCGGCTCCTCGCGAGCTGCTACCTCTCCCTATACCCCCTTCATGGTCTTCGCCATCCTGGCCGAGGCATCGCTGCGGGAGGCTGCAGCAGCGCTTCGACCGCAAGAAGGCAGTTTTGAGCCGCGCCGTCGACTCCGTCAAGGCGCTGAATTGGGTGCATGGTGGGCGCCAGCCTCCAAGTTTTTCGAGCCCTACCCTGTCGCAGGCTACGGCTCTTCAACACCTTCTGGATGTTCATCGGACGGACGTCCCGGAGATCGTTAATGCCGAGGCAGCCCGTGTGGAGTTGCTCGGCTCAGGACGGGACTACGCTGGTGGTCCTGAGCTTCCCATCGCGAGTTACGACAAGGATCTGCTCTCCATGCCCCAGCTCGGGGCGGAGCCCGTCGACCTGTCCACGGTACTGGAGGGTAGGGCCAGAGAATGTCTCGTTAACTTTGAAGAGGAGATCTTGCACGGTCCCGATGATTGGGGTCATATTACTGAGTGTGAGGAGCATGTCAAGCCGTACATGGATCCAGTGCTTAAGACCGACGCCGACGCTTACTTCGACTTCGTGATGAGGGGTCACAAGTCTGGTTTGTTTCGCTTCGGCCGCACGTCCCACGTCATCGCTACACCTTTCTTTGCGAGGAAGAAGGCCGGCACTTTGAGATTGATCCTTGACTGCCGCCCCAGTAATCGCAGGATGCGTGAGAGCCCCTACGTTCGGCTTGGAGGGCCGGCTGATGTGGCTCGGCTCCTGCACTCGCGTGGTGACGGGGACCCGTACGTGGCCCTCGGTGACGTGAAGGATTACTTTCATTGCTGCGGGCTTCCACCAGGCCTTAGTCCATATTTTTCCTTGCCGCCCGTGTCAGGTCTGCGACTTCTTCAGGCTGGTACTCACAATGTAGAGGGTGTTCCCGTTCTTCCAGGTGATAGAATCTTTCCTCAGTCCAGGGTCGTTCCCATGGGGTGGTCTTGGGCTTGCTACTTTGCGCAGTCGGCTACAACGTCCCTGGGGCATCGTTTCTCGGGCTCCGAGGGCGACAGCTTCCTGAAATCCTGCAAGCCGCCTCCTGGTCTCGATCGGCCCGCTTACAACGTCTACATAGACAACATTAGCATCTTTGGCCAAGGTAAGTCACAGACCGATAGGATCGCCAACCAGGTTTTCGACGGAGTCGAGAGTGTCGGCTTTCGGGTTCACGAGCGCGCGTCTGCCAGCAAGTGGGCTCATACGCTCGGCCTAGAGATCGACTTCTTGCATAGCACGGTCCAAGGAAAAAGGCAGAAGAGGTGGAAGTTGAAGGCTGTCCTGGATTGGTTGGCTGGTGCTCCGTATGTGTCGGGTCAGGAGATCGAGAGACTTCTGGGCCATACCACCTTCCACTTCGGACCTAATCGGCTGTTCTTGTCCATCTTTAACAACGCCTATGACTTCATTCGTTCGTGCTACACTTCTCGAGTGCGTCTCTGGCCCTCGGTGGCAAGGGAGTGCTGGGCCGCTGGGTGTCTTATCTCGTTCGCGTTCGCAGACCTGGGAAGGGACTTCGACCCGTTCGTGAGCTGTTTCGACGCTAGCATGCGTGGGGCAGGGATCGTCACGGCGCCTTGGGACTCGGCACAGGTTCGTTCAGAATGCGAGTGGGAGGAGAGGTGGTGGTTCAAGTGGGATGTGTACGATCGGGTTGCGCCCAGGGACAACAATTTCTTATCGCTGGACTGGGGGGACATCGAAAGCGTCAAGCCTTGTCGTGACAGGTCGTCGCTCTGGCCCCTGGACAATTCGTTCAGAGAGGTCCCGAAGGAGAACCTTGTGGGCCCCACCTGGACCAAGGTCGTTCGGAGTTTTTGGAAGGACGAGGAGCCGATATTCTGTCTTGAGGCCCGTGCGGGCCTGCTGGCGGTGCGTCATAAGCTACGGGCAGTCTCAAGTTTCGGTAAGACTCATCTGCACCTCGGGGACTCCATGACCGCTATCCTGGCTTTCGAGAAGGGGAGGGCCAAACATCGAGGTCTGCTGGGTGCCTGTCGTCGTCTTTTGGCTCTGAGCGTGGCTTCCAACACCAGACACCACTTCAGGTGGGTGCCTTCAGAGCTGAACCCGAGTGACCCTGATTCACGCTACTTTGAGCTTCCAGTTGACAGCGACGGCCGACGCTTGCTTCGCCGCTCCACGTCTCGTGCCTGGACGGCGCAGGCAGACGGCAAGGGGAGCTGGCGGGTCGTCGATCCTGGCGGTGGTGCTCTCGCCGCCGGCGGACCCTCTGGACACGGTGGTGGCCGAGAAGACACGTCGGCCAGCTCGACACCTGGTGCTCAGGAGGGACTACTGTCGGCGGCCCGACAGGTTTTGGGAGTTCGGGCGAAGCCGAGGTCTCTCCTTGGCCAACCCGAAAGTCTGCGACGACGCGCTGTGCGGCTTTGCCGACCTGCTGTTCCTGGACGGCGAGCAGATCGACGCGGGGACCAAGTTCCGGGCCGCGCTGGAGGACCACGACGTGCTGCGGTTCGGCAAGACCAGCCTTCCTCGGTTTCGGCGGGTTCTTCAAGCTTGGCATCGGAAGGGGCCTGTGGACAGCAGGGACCCTCTACCGTTCCGCCTTCTGGCGGGCATTCTGGGCTCCCTGTCGCTCCATGGCTTCCACGAGGAGGTGCTGGCGCTGACCCTCATGTTCATCTGCCCCCTGCGCCTGTCCGAGCTCGTGACGGTGGCCGAGGGCGACCCTTTCGAGTCTGTGGCCAACGCAGGCGTGGCCCTCGCGTGTTGGAGTCTACTCCTGCGGCCTTTCGGGAGGGAGGAGCCGACCAAGGTCGGCCATCTCGACGACACGCTCCCGCTCGGCAGCCCCGACTTCCCCGGCTTGGGGGCCCTCCTTGCTGGATTGCGCAGACGGGTCGTGGAGGTCTGGCTCTTCAGTTTCGGCCAGATGCAGCTGGTGGGCCGCTTTCAGGCGCCTTTCCGCATGGCGGGCCTGGGCTCGCTGAACATCGAGATGCATCAGCTCCGCCACGGAGGGGCGTCGAGGGGCTTCCTGATGTCGGCGAGGGAGATCCAGGCGGTCAAGCAGCGGGAGCGCTGGACGGACGATCGCTCTTTGCTTCGCTACATGAAGGCGGGCAGAGGGCAACTGCTTCACAAGGTTATGACGCCCGTGTCCAACCGCTGGTGCCAGGAGGCGGAGGCCAACCTTTCGCTCGCCCTTCGCGGCGGATGGCAGCCTGCCCTTCGGCCGCCAAGAGCCTGCCTCTGTCTCTCACAAGCGGGTTTGTGATCGAGGTCTTCTCAGGCAGCGGTAGGCTGGCCAAGTCCTTCGCGGAGCTGGGCATCCCGGCGCTGTCCTGGGACATCGAGCACGGCCCAGCTGGCGACTTGCTGGACGAGGACGTTCTGCGCTGCGTGCTGTCGTACATCGCCTCTGGTAGGTGTCTTTTCCTCTGGTTGGGCACGCCGTGCACGTCTTTTTCTCGTGCCCGAAAAAACGATGGTCGCGGCCCTGGGCCTCTTCGGGACCCCTGGCACCTGGACGGCCGCCCCGAACTTTCTGCCCCCGACCTTGCCAAGGTCGAGAACGGGAACCGTCTTTTAGAGGCCTCGTTAACGCTAATGCGATGTGCTGCAGCTCACAACGTCCCCGCGGTGTTGGAAAACCCCAACACGAGTTTGTTATGGGACATGCCTCAGATGCTAGAATTTCAATCATCTCATGACACTAAGTTCACGGTGCTTCATTTCTGTCAATATGGAGAGCTTTGGGTTAAGCCCACCCGTTTGCTCCTCCTGTCTTGCTCTCACCTTTCGGCCGTTGGAAAAACTTGCACTGGCCGCGGTGTGTGTTCCAGGACTGGAAAGCCCCACGTCGAGCTTCGGGGCAAGGACCCAACTGGAACCTTCTGGACCCTCCGCGCTCAGCCGTATCCTCGCCAGCTCACTCGTGCCGTTGCTTCACTGATGATGTCTCACCTCATCCGTGCCGGAGGCTCCTCCTCTTAGGCCTTCGGCCAGAACGCTACTCTGGTGCGGGTGTGGGTGCTCTTTTGTGGCTCTTGGGGGTTGGTTGCCCCCTGCTGCCCTTGCCTGGCGGCGTCGGCGGGATGACTTCGGGTCCCCGTCCACGCCCGCTGGGCCAGGGTAGCAGTCGGGCTACCAGCCTCCTGCCACGGCAAGATCTGTGCCTCTGGCGGTGAATAGTTTTACAGTCTTCGAGCCTCGGTGAGATGCTCTCTCTGGCGCGTGAGCTGAACGGGAATATGGATGTTCCTTAGCTTGCGGGATAATCCATCTAAGTTCGGCGGGAGCGCCGTGGTTCGCACAGTCATCAGGTGCATTGTAACTCTGCTGATTCTGTGTCCGTAGTCCGACTTGTTTTTGCTCCCCTCCCACTCCACCCTTTCTTGGGGTGCTCTTTTGTGGCTCTTGGGGGTTGGTTGCCCCCTGCTGCCCTTGCCTGGCGGCGTCGGCGGGATGACTTCGGGTCCCCGTCCACGCCCGCTGGGCCAGGGTAGCAGTCGGGCTACCAGCCTCCTGCCACGGCAAGATCTGTGCCTCTGGCGGTGAATAGTTTTACAGTCTTCGAGCCTCGGTGAGATGCTCTCTCTGGCGCGTGAGCTGAACGGGAATATGGATATATATATATATATATATATATATATATATATATAGATAGATAGATAGATAGATAGCCAAAAATTGGAAGGTGTCATCGCATAGAGCGCACCGCTCAGGTTGCACCGTCCATATTACATCACAAAGATTTCACATACAGCTTGTTTCTCATAAGAGGAATCTCTCCCGCGGACTCATCGATACCCCCTGGGACACTGCAAATTTCATATGATTATGCCTCGTCTTTCATTTCCCATGAGAAATTGTACCGTCCCAGCCACATCGGGCATCGTCCCCCCCTCTCCCTGTCAAATAACGCTATGCGCGCACACTCGCTGATCGCAAAAGATAACTGTACACGAGATCCTTGCAATAAATGCACAATGCCCACACGCGCGCGCGCACATGTTGCAATCATACTACGCATACCAGTGCTGCAAGGACTGCAGCATAAAAGCATCAATGAAACACATAGGTTGTGCATCACACGTCGTGCACATCTTGCCCGCGCGCATGTGCTGAAATTGTAGGAAAACCATCCGATTTCAGTAACCTTGCCCAGAACCCGCATTCTCATTTCACCGCGCCGTGCACCCGCATTGTTCCAGCATGCGCACAGAGAACGAACCAGTATCAAGCTATACCATGAGGGCCACGCGCACGCCGCCACCAGCGTGCCCCAACCATTGATGTTCGAAGCATTTCCAGCGCAGCCCTTTAGCACGCGCTGGGACGCTGCCATCGGTAAGCGCCATCGCGGTCGCACCGGTTGTGCCAAACCAGTTGGCCGCTCAGCGCGCGAGCTTGCCCGCGCCAGCGCGGCCGCAGAGATGCGCCAGCCATGGCCAAGCAGTCATCGAAATCGCAGCCGCTTGCATTTTGCAAGCCAAGTTGCGGGTGGGAGGGTGGGATGGTTGCGCGAGCAGCGGAATGACAGCTCGCGGGTTGGCAAAATGAAGTACGCCACGTGGGTTGCATCCCATAGGTTTAACCGCAGAGAGCACATCGAGAGTGCAAGGGCCCACTGTTGGGAGTCCACGCTGGCAAATATGTTCTACGATATCGGGCGCACGGGAGCAGCAGTCGAAGTTGCAGAGGGCAGGGTTGTTGCAAGACAGGCGTCACTTTTTGAATGTTCCCTTCGCTGTGGCTATGTGCGTGACGCATCGTCCCCCTGCTGAAGGACAGAACACGAGGAGAATGATAAAATAGAGAGGATGAGGGAGGAGGAGAGGTGGAGGAGGAGGAAGGCGGGTAGAGGCGGAAAGGAAAGGGCAGGTTGGCAGGCTGGTGCGGGAGAGTGCGAGGGCGAGCATGGGACCTTCCCAGATCGCGTCGAACGAGTTCGAGGTCAGGCAAAACGTCAAGGGCGTCAAGAGGCGAGCATATCCTCACTTCCTCCACTCCTCCGTGAGCTCTCACCAGTTCCTCCTCGTCATCCCCCACTAGTCCTCATGTCGCCCTTCACGGCCAGTCCAACCTAGCCGAGGGCACGGAGCGGCGTTCAAGAGAGGCGAGCCCATCTTGCCGTTCCTTTTCGCCTCCTACGCGGCGCGATCAGCAAGAGCCGCCGCTGAAGGAGAAACGAAAGCCACGAGGATGAGCTGCTGAAGCAAGGGCCCCCCTGCATCAACCCCTCTGTTCTGGGCGCGATTGGCATGTTTGTTGTTTCCGTGGCCCAAGGGCATCCCTGTTTAAGAGATTCTTTCTTTTTTTTTCAAGTTCAACAAATACGTCGCCCCCCGAGGGTCCCACACCTTCCCGGAACATCTGCGGAACGCTCCCGGTACCGCGCGTTCTGGCCCCAGGGAACCCCCAAAACGCCGACGGACAGCCCAAGACGATCCCAAGAAGCTTCGAGAACGTAAAAGAACGGCCCAAGACGCTCTCAAGCAACCCAAGGTAGCTTTAGGTCGGCTCTCCAGGCTCCCAGAAAGCTTCCAAGAGACCTCAAAGACCGAGGAATTTGAAAAAAAAGAACTCCAGAGATTTCATTTTTTGTTCAAGTTGGGACTCCTACTCCCTATCCTCTTCCGCGAGCCCCATCAAGACTTCGGGGTCACATGCAAGGATTTGTCGGGAATACTGTTGAACTCTCTAGCGCTGTCTTGGCATTCTCTTGGATCGTCTTCGTGTCCTCTTGGCTGCCCCTGAAACCACCGTAGAAATCGAGGTCCCATGTTCCCATGAGTCGAAAAAACGGAACTTCAATTTGTTGTTCAAATTCACCCCATGCTTATTTTTGCACGAAGACCACGAGAGGCATCCCAACAGACCGTGGCCTGCATCCAGAAAATTTCTAACCCACAGCCCAGGCATGGCAACTTGAAAAAAAGGGAATCCCATAATTCGTTGTTTTTTCAAGTTTGCCCTCCCTGTCTACTCTTGTTTCCGCAGTTCCCTTTCTATACGATTCTGAGGCTTGTGCAGTGCCTCCAAGAGAGTCCTTGGATGCAAGAAACGACCAACATAGAATTCCATGAGTTAGCCCATCAAGCCTAGCTAGACCTTGAGCGCGCGCGAAGCGCGCGCAATGGTTCTTGTACATATACGTATATATGTATACATATATATGTGTGTATTGGCCGAGTTGCGCTGTTTCTCCAGCGGAGGCGTGAGAGATCCTGAATTTCGGGCGAGGGGCTTCGATCCCTTCCGACGGGTCCCTTGGGGCCTTGTGCGACAAATGCGCATGAAGCGAACTCTTGGCATCTGAGATCCCCGAGGCAGCCAGACTCGCTTAGAGAAAGGTTCCTCGGGAAGCTGCTCTCACGTGAACGAGTGTGTTGCTTGCAAGGACGGCCTTGCCATTCAGCACGCCCTCCTGCGAGGGATGCTGAGCCCAACCACAAGCTCTACCTGGATGGCCTGCAGTACACCAACAAGGAGTTGGAGGAGCTGAAGAAGGCTGGGCCGGAACCGGCCATGAGCGACGGGCGGGCGGGGGTGCGCGGTTTCTCAGGGCAGCGCCAGATGTGGCGTTGTCTGTGCTGAAGAGGCCGCGCTTGCGCGGGACGTCGAAGGTCGGGCCCGATCCACAGCTTTGGGAAGTCAGATACGGCAGATTAACGTCGTGCCCACGCGGCAGCAACCCCAGCGCTGGCGTTCGAGATTGAAAGCCGACAGGGGCTCAGAATCGGCCAACATGGAACGAGGCGCTGCTCCGCAAAGCGCCGATCGTTCCAGGTTGACTGACACAGGCGGCGTCAAACCAATGCCGAGGTCGTCATGACTCGAGCTTGCCGCAAGAAGTGTGGCCCAAATCAAGCCTGCGCTGTCGGCCGGAAGAGCACGATCTTCGGCCCCGCAGCCTCGAGGTTTAGGCTCCTTGCGCCGCCCCTCGCGGGAAGGGCGCCTGCCACATCTGCAGGGAGGTCCGCGGCCCACCCCCTTGGGAGGCAGCAAACAACTTTTGGGGTTCGGGTTTTCTGGAAACCGCCAAATGACCGGACGGGAGGAGGAAGAGGAGAAGTATGAGCAGACATACATAGCAAGTGAAACAGTATGAGCGCGAGGATTCGTCGAAGACAAGCAAAATAGAAGAATTAAGCAAGAGAACGCAAACAAACGGAAAATGAACTCGTCGCCGGATTGGCGAATATCAGTTAGACTCGGACGAGTCTCGTTGTTGAGGTCCGTTCTGTCCCTCCTCCTCGCTCCTCTGCTTTCTCATTCGCACATGACTCCAGTGTTTCCGCGTCGATGGCTCGGGTTGGTGATGAGGGAGGGAGAGAGACAGGAGAAAGAGAGAGAGAGAGAGCGTGACAGCGATAAAGAAAGGGAGAGCACAGACAACAACGAGAGGGCAAACGGTTTTTCAACAACGAAAAAACGTTCACCTATCATGCCTCATCCTCTCCTTCCTCCTTCTCCTCTCCCTCTGGTCCTCCTCGGAAACTCCCTCGGAGCCACGAGCGGCACATTGCTAATGGGATCTGGCCCCACGGCGGCCTCGGGCAGCAACAGCATTAACGCTGTCATCGCAGACCGCTTCAGGTCCGCATCGGGGTGGAATGCGAAGGGCCGGCCCCACTTCGACCGCATTGCAAGACCCTCGCCGACGATCAACAGGGTCTTGTACGTCGATCAATGGGCACGCCTTCTCAAGATGTTTGGCAGTGTGCTCAGGGAGCGCGCCCCCGACGCCCGCGCTCTTTCCTGCTCCTCCTCCTCCTCCTGCTCCTCCTCCTCCTCGTCATCTTCCTCCTCCTCCTCGTCCCCACCCTTTGGCTATCCGATCCTCTAAGCAAGCCCACCTCCATGGGCACGTGCTGATCTGGACCTGCGAATGTCTCTTTCTCTCTCTCTCTCTCTCTCTCTCTCTTTCCGCCTCTCTCTTTATCATTTTCCCTCCGTCCTGTTTTCTCTCTCTATCGCCCTCTATGTTTCTCTGTTTCTCTCTCTCTCTCTCTCTTTCTCTCTCTCTCTCTCTCTCTCTCTCTCTCTCTCTCTATATATATATACCCATATAAATATGTATAGCTCTCTCTCTCTCTCCTTGTCTTTCTCTCTATACATATATATATATATAGATATACATGTATGCATACAAATACAGATGCAGGTGTGAAGATACGTAGATTTGTAGATATGTTTATGGATATATCTGTATATCTATAGTTACACGCGTCGATGTGCAAAGTTGCATGTTCATTTGTGTCTACGCATTGCAAGCAGAAAAAAAACTGTATATGTACGCATACGTGTACCTATACATATATATGCGTATGTGTATATATATACATGTGTGCATGTGTGTAAGTGTGTAAATGTATGTGTCGTGTCATCTTTCCCTCTCTCTCTCTATCCCTCTCTCTCCCTCGTCTCCACAACCTTACGTGAAGCGTTTTTTTCTGTTTGCTTACCCTTAACCCTGAGGGTATCGCTCGGTCTGTTCAGGACTTCCTTCCCGCCTTACTTGGCAAGCTTGGTTTTCTCTCGACGCGTCAGAAGACCCCAGGATGAAGCACGAAGCTTCCGCAGCCTGGCCAGAGTGCAAGCGTTGGCGGCGCAACCGTCCTCGCGCGAAGATTGCCAGAACATTATGTGACAAGCTCAGTGTTGCATTTGGCCTCATGTCTCTTTTCTTTGTTTCGGACAACTTCCTATCACTCGCCTGGCATGGGGGCGGCTGTTGGGTGAATGGCCGTATTGCCAACCTGTGTTTGCGACCGAACATCGAGACCAAGATTTCTGTTGCTCCACGCAAATGTTGCTGAGCCAGCCAGCAATAGTGGTCGCACAGCTGCAATCTTTTGTCATACACGAAGTTGCCATTAGCGCGGCCGCACATTCCATTTATTGTATAGAGCTGACTCGCGAAATTGGGTCAGGAGAAGAGTTGGTACTATTACTCAGCCCGTGTGCAAAGGATCACTTGGGAAAGCATAGCGCCACTCGGACTTCTGAGAAAACTAAGCTGACAGAAACCCGTTCCAGGTAGGAATGTAGGGGACGATTTCGCATCCGCCTCCACCTCCAGAGCACAGCGGAGGTCATCATGAATTACGGCAAGCAAGACCTGACGAAGGAGATCCATTTGCAAGACAATTCCCTGGACGAGGACAGTTGTTTCTTTTACCTCTCCTCATCTAGTGGCCGGGCCTCGTGGGGCGCTCCGGAAGCCTTTTGGGTGCCTCTGAAGACCTCTTGGGAGTTTCTTGAGGGGTGTTGGGGTTGCGTTGGGCGAGCACCTTGAGGCCGAGATTGCAGAGACGCATTCCTTGTGTTTCAATGCTTGGCCTAGGGAGTTCACGCGACACGGCCCAGGAGCGCGGGGAAAGGCCCAGAAGTTCCGTGAGACTTGGGTACAGTTCTTCAGAAGCCGACCATAATCGAGTAAGCATTCACAATTGCATGAGCCTTGTGGCACCCCACTACGATCTCAAGGCACGCTGTTTGATACACCTATATATATACATATATATATATATATATAGTTGTGTAAGGACGAATCTTCACGCAAGCAAGCACAAACATACACGTTTGTGTGTGAGGCTCGTTTCTTCTACGTATGTTTAGGTAGAAAGCTGCTGTCCAATACCAAATTATATGATACATCGCATGTACATGAACATGCACATGGAAGTGAACATACACATTCCACGTCTGCCTAAAACCACGGCGACTCGTCAGTAGAAGGGGATTAGCAGGAGGATGGGGAGGACAGGGATGACGAGCTGGACGGAGCCCAAGTTCTTTCGGAACGAACTATCCCGAAGCGGATCAGATGAAGGCCCGTCTTGGAGCTCCACGGGGCGTTCTTGGGCCTCTCCTGCAGCCTTTCCGAGGGCCTGCCCTCTCCGTCTTCCGTCATTACTCGTGGAGTGGACAGGCAATGGAATTCGAACCAAGAATGTCTTCCAGACTTTCCAGGCACGGCAGCTAAAGCCTTTCGAGATGTCATTTCCCGATTGATGCTTTCGCTTCGCACAACCAAAGGGGGAAGGGGAACCCGAGTTCACACACACACACACACACACACACACACACACAAACAAACACAAACACAAACACAAACACAAACACAAACAAACACACACACACACACACCCAAACTTTTGGCGATCGCGGCCTCGCACGCAGCGTCGAGGCGGAGCAAGGTCGGAGCTGGTGCGCACTCGGTCGGGCCTTCAGTAGGGATTGCTTTGAATCCCCTGCATCCCGCAGCAACAATCCATCCGGGCGTGCATGGTGGGGAGGTGACACGCCGCCCACCGCAAGACCTCCCAAGCGGGACGTAGCGCGAGAGCGTGGAGGAGAGGCATAGTTATCTGGGCGTGGATGGCGGGGAGGTGACTCGCCGCCCGACGCTGGACCTGCCGAGCAAGGACGTAGCACGAGGACGCAGGACGGGAGGAAATCTACAAAGGGACGGTAGCAGAGAACACACACACACACCAGGGAAAAACACATGACAAGCAAGAGCATTGGCGAAGAACCCAACCCTTTGTACACGAGTGGTGGCTATAAACAGAACAGTTCCACGCAATGCGGAAGCAGCACTTGGGGCCTTCGGTGGAGCTCCCCACGGGGCCACGAAACGTGTATGGGGTGTTTGGCCGCACGCGGACGCAGCCACTGGGACCTTCGGTGGAGCTGCCCTTGGGGGAAAGGGAAGAGGGAAGAGGGCATTCAGAGGAGCTCCCCAGTGTGACGGGTCTGCCGAAACGGGGCGGGGCCGCACGCGGACGTAGCCATTGGGGTCTTCAGTGGAGCTGCCCATGGGGCCACGAAGCGCGCGAGGGGCCTGACGAAAAAGGGCGGGGCCACATGTGGACGCAGCCACTGGGGCCTTCGGTGGAGCTCCGCAAAGAGGTAAGACGTTGATGATGAGGACGTGGGGGAGGAGGGGGGAGGAGGAGAAGGAGGAGGAGGAGCAGCAGGAGGAGGAGGAGGAGGAGCAGGAGAAGTAGACGCGCGGAGCTGCGGATTCAAAACAGGGACCCAACACACATGAGGGTTGGGAAATTTGTTTGGCGAAGAGTCCAACCTTTTGGTAGACGGGTTGCGGCTATAAACAAGACCGTTTCACGCCTGCGGGCTCGGCCACTGGGGCCTTCAGTGGAGATCCTTATGGGGCCTCGAAAGGTCTGCCGAAATGGGGCGGTGTTGCACGTGGACGCAGCAACTGGGGCCTTCGGTGGAGCTCCCTATGGGTCCACGAAACGTATGAAGGGGTCTGCCGAAATGCGAAGAGGTAAGACGTTGATGATGAGGACGTGAGGGAGGTGGAGGAGGAGGAGGAGGAGGAGCAGGAGAAGAAGAAGAAGTAGACGCGCGGCGCCGCGGATTCAACACGAGAAATCAATACACAGAAGGGTTGGGAACTCAGCCTGGAGAGGAGCCTATTTCTTTGTAGACGGGTTGTTGCTTTAAACAAGACCGCTCCACGCCTGCGGACGCAGCCATTGGGGGCCTTCGGTGGACCTCCCTCTGGGGCCACGAAACGTGTGAGGGGTCTGCCGAAACGGGGCGGGGCCGCATGCAGGCGCAGCCATTGGGGCCTTCGGTGGAGCTGCCCCTGGGGCCACGAAACGGGCGAGGGGTCTGCCGAAATGGGCGGGGCCGCATGCAGGCAGTCAGTCATTGGGGTATTCGGTGGAGCTCCCTATGTGGCCACGAGACGCGTGAGAGGTCTGCCGAAAAGGGGCGCGGACGCAGCCACTGGGGCCTTCGGTGGAGCTCCCGGGCCCACGAAACATATGAAGGGTCTGCCGAAAGGGGGGCGGGGCCGCATGTGGACGCAGCCACTGGGGCCTTCGGCGGAGCTCCCTATGTGGCCACGAAACATGTAAGGTGCCTGTCGAAGTACGAGGAGTGAAGACGATGATGCTGATGCTGATGCTGATGATGATGATGATGATGATGATGATGATGATGATGATGATGATGATGATGATGATGATGATGATGATGATGATGATGATGGTGGTGGTGGTGGTGGTGGTGATGGTGATGGTGATGGTGATGGTGATGGTGATGGTGATGATGATGGTGATGGTGATGGTGATGGTGATGATGATGATGGTGATGATGATCATGGTGGCGGAGGTGATGGTGATGGTCATGATGATGATGATTATGATGGTGATGATGATGATTATGATGATAGTGAGGATGGTGAGTATGATTAAGATAATGATGTCAATGTTGATGTTGATGTTGAGGCTGCTGATGATGATAGTGATGAGAATGATGATGGCCTTGATGGTGATGATGGTTATGATGATGATGCTGATGTTGGTGCTGATGCTGATTGTGATGATGATGATGATGATGGTGCTGACGCCGGTGTTGATAATGATGATGATGATGGTGGTGGTGGTGATGATGATGATGGTGATGATCATTGTGATGATGAATATTATGATGGTGATTGTGATGGTGATGTTGAGGAGGATGATGACGATGACAGTGATGATGATGCTGATGATGATGATGGTAATGGTTGTCATGCGGATGAGGACGAGGATGAGGATGAGCATGAGGATAAGGACGAGGATGATAAATAGCATGAGGATGATGATGGTGATCATGATCACGATCATGATCATGATGATGATCATGATGATCATGACGATCTCGATTCCTCCTGCCGACCTCCGCGAGGCGATGGGGCCCCCCCGGCGACGATGAGGAAGACGGCATCATCTTTGCGCCTGGCGCCACCGCGCGCGGCACAAGGAGCCACGAGGATCCTGAGAGACGGTCCGCCGCCTGGAAGACTGGCCGGCCCCGGGAAAGACTTCTGACCCGCGGGCCGGCACCCAGAATCCCGCAGCCCTTGCCAGGGCACGTCGCGACGAGGGTGGTGGTCGGGGAGGAGCAGGGAACGCAGATAACATCCTGTGCTCGAGCTCCTGGAGACGCTGGCGGCGTTGCGAAGCTGGGCGGCCGACAGCGCACTCCTCATGCGCAGCATGCCCGCGGGCTTGGCATACCGGCGGACTGATGACGCTGCCAGCCAGCGCCTACGGGTCTGCAGGGCAGCGCCACTGGCCTTGAAGCGCCAGACGTCGTGGCTGGCGCCAGCGCGGCGGAAGGAGTGCGGCGAGAACGGCAATTGGGCGTTGAAGAACTCGGCGCGGAACTCTCGACAGGCTGCGGCCCACCGCGCGGCCGTCAAGGACGGGAACAGCGGGGCGGTCTCGTCGCCTGGCTGGGCGACGGCCGCGCGGGCACCAAGGTTCAGGACGAGCTGCGCGACCCAGCCGCGGTCGTGGGCCCCGACAATGGTGGAGGCGTCGAACTCGTAGTTCTTGGCCGGCGGCGCGAGAGGGTCGTCGGCATTGAACGGCGCGATGGTGATGACGACGTCCAGGGCGCTGGGGGCCGGCGGCGTCACGTGCCGCATTGTCAGGTTCAGGACCTCGGCAGGGCGGAGGTAACAGTCGAAGGCGATCACGGAGGCGGCCGCATCGAGGGCGAGGAGCCCCCCGCGACGCAGCCACACGTCGCAGGCCAAGAATTGGTACTCGACGGGCACAGAGTCGCACGGCTGCTCGGGCGATGCGTGCGCGAAGCCGTGCAGCGCGGCCTTCGCGAGGGGCAGGGTGGCGCGATCCTGGGGAGCTAGCCCCAGGCAGAACGCGGTGCCGTACACCGCGTACCGCGCCTTGGCCGGCGGCAGCCCATCGAAGAACATGGCGTCGAGGAACTTGTCGAGGACGGCGTCCCACGCGGCGGGCCCGCTAGACTCGCGGCCGGTCAGCTTGGCCCAGCGCCCGACCTCCGCGAACGACTCTTGGTAGTGCCGAGCCGTGGCGGGGCGGACGGCGGCGCGGCGGCAGGCGCCGGGGGCGTCACCGTAGGCCTCGCGACGGGCCTCGGCGCGACGCCTGGCGGCGCGCCGCTTGGGCGCAGGCGGCACGATGGGCGCGGAAGTCCGCCAGCTCGTCGCGCAAGGGTTTCCCGCCCCATTGCTTGACCGCCCCCTCCCAGCCGAGCCGGGCGGTGCGCGCGAGCAGTGGGGCCGGAGGTGGGCGGCAGCTGGCTGCGCGCTGACTGCCAGACGCCAGTCCCAGAAGTCGTCCAGGAGGGGCTCCCTCGGGCGGCGGAAGC